TGAATAGGATTTATTATTGTTCCTTCACATCTGTGGAAGATACGTGTCATTTTGTTTACCAAGTCAAAACATCATGGAGTAAGCTATGAAGGAGATGACAGCTAGTTTTGAAAAAATACTGTTCTTTCGTATCAAGTTTGGTCAGAGAAACTGGGTTTCCTGCTGAGACAGGACGTATTAAGTGGGCCTTAAAGCTTTAGATGATCAAAAGGTATGAAATACAAACAACTCACTAGAACCCTACATTTGTTTTTAGGTTCAATGGTAAATGGATGGGGTTCTGCGTCTGATGAGGACCGTAACTTTTCTAGTCATAGATCTAGTGTAGGTAGCTCCTCAGATGACTCGATCTTTACCAGCGGCAGTTTTGCACAAGCACTGGTTGCAGCAGCAGATAAAGCTGGTTTTAGGCTGGATGGAACCAGCCTGACAAGAACAGGTTTGTAGACTCAAAATTGATGCTTTCTGCATGAAGGGTGTCTCTACCTGTTCTGTTCTTTCCAGTGAACCTGAGTCTCACTTCACGTTTGTCTAACATGCATGGAATAAAGTGGATGGAGATATTTTTAAGTGCATATTCTAAACAAAAGCTCCTACTCTATTTCATGTTTTAATGATTTGAAGTAGTGCATTGCACAAGCTTTTAATCAGCACCTACGGTCTGCTCTTTCTCTTTATGCTGACTCTACCATAGATCTACTGACATATCCTCCATATAATATTTCACTGAAGAGATCACTAATTCTATCATGCAGTTTTTGATGATTTAGTTTTTGCAAAGTCTTCTTGCAATCAATAACATTTGCAGTCATGAAAGTCATGTTTAAGCTATTATCTCCATCCCTGCTCTTCTGTTGCATCTCCTCTTGTAAAACAAATGTATTTTTCTGAGTATTTTTTTCTAAGCATGGGGTGAAATTGTATTTTTTTATTATTAACAATGCAAACTGTTTTAAAGTCTTATTAATCAGCTGACTTTGAAAATAATTTGTTTGATAAGTTACTGTATTTTTATTAAATTTAATTTTATCTATGTCAAATAGGACTGCAAGTTAAATGCAACAAAGATAAAATGACTGTTGCTTTTGAAAACAAATTATTTTATCTTCTAGAATGTATTAACAGTAAATATAGTTCATAATTTCTAAACTTACATTTTATTTCTAGCAAAAATACGATAAGTATCATTTATTTTTAATATTCTGAACAGAGAACCTATTGGACTTGCTTGGTCTTATCAAAATTGTGAAATAATTTATTAATTCCATAAAACCAAATAGCAAAGTATGAATTTGGGTCACATTTTTATGGTACAATATCTCTTCCTATTTCTGCCCCTAGTTCCCGTAGTGCTCATTTAAATTTTTTTTATTAGCCTGGTATCAAGCTTATCCTTCAGTAAAGTATGTACATTTATGAAATATGTGTGCAAATGTTAGGCTTAATATTGCAGGCTTTTTGCATGCAGTGCACCCTGCATTTTTAATCCATGGCAAAACCCTGAGCCACCAACAATCTATAGGGTGAAATTCCAGCTTCTCTGAAATTATTAGGGCTTTGCCATTAGAGAGTTATTTCACTTTTAAAATAGTTGAAACCTTCACTTGCTCTTTCTGCCAGTGGAACATTGCCTAAGAAAGTCTGTCCTGTCATTAAGCTGCTCTAGTTCTTCACTCCTCTCCTATGGGCGAGGAGTTTGGCCAAACTAGTTGGAAACTAATATTAGTTTCCTTGAAGAGTCTTCTAAAAATAGCCTTGAATAAAAGGAGTAAATCCTTCCCACCCTTTTTATTTTTGTGTTCTTCTTGGCCTGAATAAAAGCTCATGTGAAGACTCATTCTAATTCAATGTCATTTAAATATCAAGCCCGTTAAGAAATATAGTTTCCACCACAGACAAATACATAACAAAAAAATATGGGTACCCAAACACTTTTAAATAAATATAAATTTCTCATCATAGCTATGTAAATAGGATGTCCAAAGATGGGATGAGAGCTGTATTGTCAGGTACATTTTTTAGCTTCATTAGGTCACAAGGCACTTAAATGTAATTCCTTGGATACTGTAGTACAGTTTAGATTACATCAAATTATTCCACTGTTGCTGTAGAGACATTTTAATTATTACTTTTTAACGATCCAGTGGGCACATCCGAAACAAAACCAAAAAAAAAAAAAAACCACGTAAACAAACAACCTTCCTCTCCTTTCCGAACAAAAACAGCGGCAAAAGGAAGCAACTCCCCGGTGCTTGCTGCAGTTTCCCCCGATGCGATGCCTCCTGGGGCAGGATGAGCAATCAGACATGCCTGTTACGGTACCTGCTGCACCACGCTGAATCCCAGATGGTGCTAAATGGTGCTTTGTAGCAGAGAAGCAGGAGCAAAGCCGTGTTTTTTCCCCTATAGCTCATTTTTTCTGGAGGCAGTCTGAAAGGCTTGGCTCTTCTCCCTTGCTCCCTGGACAGTTATTGTCACCTGTGCAGAACAGATGTGAAATATTGCCCCTGTAGTGAAGGGGAAGTGCAGTTTGGTCGCCTTGCGTGGGTGTGCTCAACTGCCAAGCCTCACAGACTTGGTGAATTCAGGTGCAAGGTGTCTCTCCTGCGAGACACCTGGATTCCAGTTTGCAGAGACCATCGTGTGATTTACCATGCAGTTCAGCCAGTTTCTTGTCAGACACCCTTGGGAAATTAAGCCGTGAATTGGTGGATTCATCCTTGTCTCCACTTACACGCACTAAATCTGCTACAGAGAGCCTGACACTGCTCAGCAGTTTTTACTGGAAGGGCTTCAGATGAGAGTAAAACAGATGCTGCAAGCAGATCTGAGCTGCACTCAAAGATGTATTTGGGAAGCTTGCACATCATCTGTTTGCCCTGTGTCTAATTCATGTCAGTGAGTCAGGGCTATTTATTAATAGCCCTCATCTCAGGAAGGGATAAAATAATGTTTAGGAGTTTTTTTTATTATTATTTTCGAATCAGCATTCTGAATTAAAAACCAGTGAAAAGAGTGGGAAGAATATTCATTCTGCACTCACCAGTTGCACTTACATGTTGAGAGTTTATTTTTACAAAACATCTGTGCAATATGGTGTGAGCTAGGATGGAATTTTGGGCTCATCTCTGAATTTCTCTGCATTAGTGTCTTTTTATTTTTAAATGAAATTCTTAATATTTTGTCTGTATTCATCTGCTGTTTTATCCTTGCCCATGAAACATGGGCTTGATCAGTTGTCTTTGTCTGGCTGCAGCTGTGCCAGTTAATGTTCCCAGCTTTCCTGCTTTCTCCCATCTCCAGACTTAGCTGCTTGGGTGCATGTTCTGTAACCCATTTCTGCCCAAATGAACCAGGTTAGCAGCAGCATGCAATTCAAACTGTTCAAGCTTATTCTGTTTTATTTTGATGAAAAAGAGTTAAGGAGTGTCCATATAAGTGATTCAGATGTGTTAACTTGTAGTAGCTGGCAGTGACGTGCAGCTGGGAGACAAGCTAACCTGGGAGCAGTGTCCTCCTTGTGGTGCACAGCAGACAGAAGAAGACAAAAGATCAAGCCTGAGAGAGCCAGAAAAAGTCCAAAATGAAATGCTGAGCGGTTTCTAGCATGTATGCATTAATGCATTGACAGCATCTTCGAGAGCTTACGGCCACATTTTTTCCCTTCTCCTCTTTTTGTTTTGAGGATGTTTCAAAGAGTGTAGTAGATAGCATATAAACCCCTGATTAGGCTTATCCAGATCAGATGTGGTGGCATGTTGGAAGTAAGTCCATCTATTATCACGCATTAAGAGCAGTGCAGTACTCAAGCACTCCACATCTAAAACTTCTGATCTAATAAAACCTCAGGAAGGTTACTACAAAGCACCGGTCACAAACAGTGTGCTCCAAGCTATACATTAGCCAGCAGATGAAACACTGACAAGTTTGGGCTCAGGTGACCTGAAAAATAGAAAAAAAAACAATTTTGTCCCTTTCTGTCAACTTTTATACCACTTTGACCTAAATCTGTCCTGAAAAAATTGGCAATTCTCCTTGACTTATAATCTTTCCACTGTGGATAATTTTAAAACAAGTTTTATGTATCAGATTTAAACAGAGAAAAGTGCTAACATCACTAAGGTGCTTGGTAAAGATGACATGCAGATGAAAAAAAAAAAAGTAAAAGACAATGATATTGACTTTTCATCAAATATCAATAAGCAACAAACAAGCCTAGTTAAGTAAGTTAGCTGAACAAAGGATCAGAATAAAACAAAGTGAAGGAAGTAACCAAACTGTGCTCATACAGTCTCTGCTGTGATGCTTCTAATCATCTGCTCCAGAGAGAAGGATCAAAGATTTTTTTTTTCAAGACAAATCACATCACTTGATCAAACAATATATAACCATTTTTGGAATACAGTATTTTTTAACATAGTGATCACTCAAATTGATTTGGAAAATTTTACCAAATAAACATAACTCCATTTTCATTTGCTTTAGAGAAGGGAACCCTTAAGTATGCAAACCCACAGTGCTGCATAGCTTGCAAAATCACTTCTGTTTATCTCACTGGAGTTACTCCAGATATACAGTGCATATGGGAGCCCCTAAAATGAGAATCTGCCGTAGAAAATGTGAAGGTGGAAACCATGAGGAGATAAATTTGATAAGATTGCAGAACTATTTTCCTTCACTGTGCAAGGCTGAGGAGTTGTTATGACACATCTGTTCAGAACACAGAGCAGGTAGGAGTTACACGACATGCAGTAGTTTTAGCACAACAGATGGAATGATTTTAATTACAAAAGTTAAAGACAAAAGAATGCCAAGTTTCTCACTTTGCTTATTGTAGTGTGTCTTAAAGCAGTTGTCATCACTGGGTACCTCCAGGGGACACTTGCTTGCCTCTGAGAATTAGAACAGATTTAATGTTTCAGAACAGACATGAATAAAACAGGCACTAACCATTTCAAGGCAATAACGTTTTTCTCCTGTTTGGTTTCTCTTTCTTTTAGGCAAAGTATACCCTTCCTCTCAGAGACCTCGGCCAAGCAGCCCATTTTCTACTGACAGCAACACCAGTGCCGCTGTCAATCAGAGCCAGAGGCCGAGGCCGACTAAAAAACACAAGGGAGGCCGGTTGGACCAACCCCCCTTGCCTCATCGTAGGGAGGGAATAACAGACGGTAAGTTGGGACGTGTGAAGGCCCCCCCCCGGGTGGTAAGTCACAGTGAGCAGGTGTGCAGCCTGAAAGGATGGAAAATAGTCTTCTAAGAAGTGCACATTACCGTGAAATACTGGCTTGGGAAGCAGGAGTCCTAGGTTGTCATGTGAGCGATACTGTAATGCCTGCAAGCATGAAGTTTGCTGAAGTGGCTCTCTAAGAAGCCTACCTCTGTTTCACATCCAGACATGCTAGTGTCTCTTAGGTGTTCTCAGGATAAATCTTACCAAAAACTATCATCTGCTTCACCTGGTTCACGTTAGAAAATAACCTCTGAGCACTGTTATTTTAAATATAAGTAGCCACCACACAGCAGTCACTTTATTCAAGGAAGTTCTAAGGAGAAATACAGAGCAAGTCCCACAGTGCTTATGCTCTTCTTGACAACTGCCCCATATGACAGTAGCACATGCCATGCTTTTCTCATGATTCTGCTTCCCTCTTTTTGATGCCGCTTCATTCCGGAAGCCCACTGACCACAGTCACTTTGTTTCTGTCTTTGACATTCCTCTTTGCTCTGGCCACCGCTTCCCATCTGGGAATTTCAAATGTATTTATTCTGCTATTCTCATCATTCAACTCAGTCTTCCATTGTCTTTGTCCACCCACTCTTGAGTTTGGCCAGAAATGCAGTTGCTGCATGTTGCTCTTTGAGGAGGACAGGATAGGAAGACACTGGCTTGCTACCTCTCCCTCTATTCTTCTGGTTTCCTAACTGGCCACTCTAGGTGTTGAAATGATTAGAGGGGACAGGCAGACCAACAGAAAGACAGCAACGGTGAAACCACCAAGGATAACATTATCTCATAATCACAAGTAAACTTCAAGAAATCTTCCAGGATATCGAAAGGACATAAAAAAATTACTTGGCTTTAGATTTCAGTATAATTATCTTCTGAACTTAAGCAAAAATTACTTGAGAATCCCTTTAATATATTTTCTGTTCAGGTAACATGTTATAAATTCAGTTGAAAGAGATTATTATTCATTTGGTTTGGTTATAATATAGGCATAGTCTAGGTGCATGTATGAATTATATAAACGGCATACAAGCTAGACTATAACCACTGAAATACTAAAGCTCTCCTCTCTGTCATGTCCTTCAGAAGTACAGATACAATTTTGCAGCAAATTCTGACAAGTTTGCTGTTTGTCAGGCCATAAAGGCAGAAAACAGCTTCCAGAAGTAAAAGTCTTCACCAGAAAGATAATCTTTATATCTCATGCACTATAGCTCACCTTCACTATGATGTTATTTCAAGAATGAGTTCCAAATAGCTTAGAGCCCAGTCATATAGATATGTATTGGTTTAAATGCTAATATACTTCTCAATATATTCCAAAGGCCTCCCATCTTCAACAACTGTTGCACACACATCAGATAAATAGAGGTAGCTGTGGAAATAGTAAGTGAAAATTGTGCATATTGCTTTGTGATGGATATATGTCACTGATGTAACATTAGTTCCATAGTCTGTCACCCTGAACCATAAACCTTATGGGCCACAACTTGTGTCTACATGTGTGTCTAGTGCATCCAGTATCGTGTGGCCTTAGTCCTCCTGCTTTTGAGCTCTAATGCTATAGAAATGCTAAATAATACTGCTGGTTCCATAAAAATAATGGGAATCTGGTTCAGATCATGAGACAGATAGAACTGTGGCTCCTCAGGGAGTGTTTCCTTCATAAATTTTGAAGGTTTCTTTTAAATATATGATAGAGAACAACTTTTAAGGTTTGTCTATAAAGAGAAATCTTTTATGGTCTTTAATTTTCTCTTCAAAATAAACTTACAGGAATTTCTTTCATATAATTGTGTCAGAGCACCGATCATATGTTATTTTGTTCAGCCTCTGGCAACAGTACCTTTAGAGACCATTAACTTAGTGTTTATCCGCTACAAGCTTAGTTAAAAATACTGGCTCTATGTTCCAAAAATTTATAACATCCTAAAATAATAGAGGATCTTTTCCCATCCTCTCTTGCCACAGAAACAAACAAACACAAACTTTACAGCTTTCCCATTTCAAGTATTACTCAATGTGGGCCATTAAAGTATAAAGGCTGGTCTGAGTCAAAGCTAAATTTGCAAAGCAACATTTATCAGTGAAATAGCTAGAGATTGCTGCTGCCACCTGTATGTAGGTAAGCAAACTGAATTTAGTAACTCTCCTACTTAGGATAGGAGTACATAAGGTTAAATAATAATACAGACCTTTCTCAACAGAGAATTTTCTGTCTCAACAGACAATTTTCCAAACATTTTATAATGAGAAATATAAAGACTCTCCTTTAGTGACCAAGTAGGAGAACCTGCGATAGATCTTCGGAGCCTTAGTCCAAACCAATCTGTTCAGCCCTGGGACTTAATGAGTTCAGTGGGGATTGTCACTGTAAATTTTCTTCTGTTTTTGATACCTCACCAATCCAGACCTGTACAATTGCTTCCTTTTGGATTGGTTTGTAAGAACATACCCAGTTTGTCTGTTTTCTTCAAATTCCTAAGCTGGATTCAACAAGTCCTAGCATTCTGTGTTTAAGTTCATCACATGCTTGACATCCGCTGCTTTAAATTCTCATTGACTATGTGAACTCCAGCCACATCCTTTCTCTGCCCTTTTTGATACACTTCCTGAATGCTTCCTCCTTATTAAACATGACCGAGTGGGACAGTGCAAAGATCCAAAGAACTGTAATGACTGTAGTGCATAGCACAGAGATAACAGACTATGTAAACATATAGAAATAAAATGACGTGCTTACTTTGGACAGCAGTCCACACAAAGAAGTTCTCCTCCCCCCAGATTCTTGTGCATTTTCTTTGATTGCAGTTCAGAGACCTCTAGAGATTATCTCCAGATTAAGCTTTCATATTTTTATTCCTGTAGGTGCTGATTCTTAAGTTCGCTGTCCTAAAAAGATAGTCTTCTTTTTAAAATTTTACATTCTCTTCTCTCATGTAATTCTGTGATCAAAGTCACCTTTGTTGTCAGATAAGCTAGTAATCAGACAATGACACTGACATATCCATTTTTCTTTTTTTAGCCATATTTATGTGAAGAGTTTGTCGTTTGAACTTACAGTTTGAGTTCACCAGTAGCTGTATGACACCATGTCATCTGAAGATTCATTTGGGAACAGTAGTACACTAAATTAATTACCTAGGATGTAAAGTTTAGTTGTTAGTTACATATTTAACTTGACTTTTTAAGTAAATAAAGCTTTTATATTTGGCTTTCTTGAATTTTATTTATTTAGCTGTCTCTGCCCTGTATCAACTCATCCCATTTTTTTTTTTAACAAATTTTGACAGGGCACAGAAATCTCAAAGGTAATTTGGTTCCTAAAAGCTTTCTAACAAAGTCATGGACTAGAGAAAGAAGCATTGCAAATCTTCTGATGAAAAGGCTGTGGGGACAACAGAAGTCCACAGAGGAAAGATACCATACGAAGCCCTCAAATCTTGGAAAATATTTATTCAGAGCTCACAGCCATCCTTAACAAACAGAGCTCACAGCCATCCTTAACAAACACACGTATTGCGTTTAGTTCTAGTGCTCAAGGAATAATTTTTTTTCTTGAAATTAATATATTCAAAAATTGTAAAACGATGGAATACACAATATCCACAGTAGTGGTCATTGCTTTACTGAAATTAAATGTTCTTCAGATTAGCATGGTGTTTAAAAAAAAAAAAAAAAGAGGATTCAGAGGTGAAATGTGGTAGAGGTTTAAAGGAGACTGGGAGTTCAGATTTCTTTTAGCCCTGCCACTGGACTTTCTGTTGTGTATTACCGATCAATTTTTGCTGAAGCAGATCACTGTGAAGAAGATTCTAGAAAATGGTTCAGGGACTTATTATATGTAACAGTAATTATCACCCTTGGGAAAACGAATGACTAGCACAGGCAGAAAAGAGTGCCCATAATACTTCTTGGTGCTGTAAATTCATGCTTTTTCCAGTTAATAATGAGAGGCTGCATCCAGGCTTGAGTACCTGAGTGATTTGGCCAATACTCTGCCTTCTAAAAGAGGGTAGGCATAATCCCAGGCCAAATTCCCATCCACCTCTGATTAGGAACTTTGATGTCCCACAGCTTCTCAATCACAATCCCCCTGTTAGTAAATCAATAAGACTATCACTAGCTCTCCAATACAATTATGAATTGGCTTGCAGATTTAACAATCCTGCCATGAGCAAGTGGTAGCTTGGATGGCATCCCACTAACCTGGTAAGTTACTACCTGAATATGGCTTTCCAGTGCATTACCATTGCCATCTAAATGCCATCTAATGCCATTTAGATGGAAGCCTAGCAACAAACAGTGATCCTACTCTGGGCATCATTGCTGAAAATCCTACTGAAGTCCCTAAATTTCTAGATTGCCCGTTTCTCTGAAGTGATTCACATTATGGAATTGGCTCATCTACATGGGATAAGAAGAAACCCCTCTGAGATCTCTGTTATCTTTGGCTAGCAGCCCAAATGCCAGCCATTGGGCATCATGCATGTGCCTACTCAAAAAAATGCGTTTAGATATATGCACACTCATAGAAACATGCTTGGCTGGAAAGTAAATGTAGACGTGAGGAAAAGTAAGAGTCTTCTCTATGTCATTAGTGGAGGAAACTCTTCATGGCTATATATGCATGGGGTCTCTATGTATGCCCAGGCAAGATAGCAGAGTGTATTTAACAATTTACCTAAGGCAGACTGGCACTAGAAAATTTAAATTGTAGAGCAAATAAAAAAACACATTGGTAAGTGAAGCTTCTTTTAGCTTCTTTTATGAAACGTGAAACTTAGGTGTTATTGTGGCAATCAAGCATTTGTAAGAAGGTAAAAAAACAAGTGGTTTAGTCAGGCGCAATAAAATGTTCAGAAGTTGTTTAATATTGCGACCATTTTAACACTTTTTTGGTGTGATATTATCCATTGTACATTTAAAGGAACATTGTAT